CCAGAGCTGCAAGGAGGAGGCAGAGGTTGAGGAAGAGCAAGGGCTGAGTCACTTGACAGTAGTGATTATCCATGGCAAACTTTTCTGTAAATTGGTTGTTGTGGGTTTTTTGGGCTCTTTGGCCGTGTTCTGAAGGTTGTTCTTCCCAACGTTTCGCCAAAGAGCCCGAAAAACCCACAACAATCATTGGATCCCAACTGTGAAAGCCTTCACAAATACATCTTCTGTAAATTGTTCTAAATACAGACATAGAAACTCTCTAAAATTCCTGCTGACTTTGGTGTATGTATTCCCCATTGCATTTTATTCTTTATTAAAAGTACTTTGAAAAACAGCAGATACATTTGTACAATTGAACAAACTAATGTTGTCTGTCTGAAATGCAATGTTTCTTGTTTTTCCACACAGTGAGTACTATATAACTATATAAAGTAATAACTCTCAAGTAATAAACAGGGATTTTTGCAATCATAAGGAGAGAAATCTATTAAATGTCTCTTCCACTTAAATTATGCCAGAAGCAGATAATGTGCAGGACATAACTGACAGGAGAATTGTGCCCCCCCAAAAGGCATATTATCATTATGTCTTGATATCTGAAGGAGATGCTATTAACACTGCATTATAATTTCCCTATGTGAAAATATAATCTCTTGATTCCACTTTTATTTCTGTGTATATGCACCATTATAATATATATCTAAACTGCTTAATTCTTAACATATTTTAAATTTTGTTTTGATTGTCCATAGTCCATTGTCGGATGGTGACAGGAGCGTTCAGTTTCCTAAAAGATACTTTAAAATGAAAAGTCTGTACTGATGTAATATAACTCTGTCGATACTTTCAAGAGCATGTGCCAATTCAGGCCACTGTTATGTGGTATACTCAGGCTTCTTTTCTTGAATTGACTTTTTATACTGTCTCTGCAGCATTATTTCCCCTTAAGTAATGTCTTCTAGTTGTCTTTTAATTTATTTTTTAAATTGTCTGCAGCAATCATTAAACCAGGGGTTGCCCACTCTACTCCCAGGATGCCTCAGTCTTGCATCCAGGAAGAGAAAAGGCTGGAATGCTTTTATGATCTGAGCATAGGAATCTAGTGTTGAAAGAGATTCAAGGACCTTATACTGTACGGACCAACATAGTACAAGTAAACATTGCCCAGAGGATTTTAACAGTACATTTTCTAACGTACTGCTCTCTGTATAAAATTTGAAGGATCATTATCTTAAACCCTTAATACTGTAACTGGGATCAAGAACAACTCCCCTTTGTGTGCATTTTTATTTCCGCTAGATGGCACAGACTATTGTATATCCTATAGGATCACTAAATTTATTAAATGAGATATGGAAAGATGAAACTCATTCCCTGTCTCACAATCTCTTCAGTTTAATTGTACAACTTGGTACTTGTTTGAGAATGCTTATTTTATTTTTATATTATTTTATGTTTTTCTTCTTGTTTATATTTACAGTATTTATACTGTATTAGATGTCAAATACTATCTTTAAGAGTGGTTGAATTTCTGCTTATGTGTACAGCCTGATTGGCTATGAAGCAATAAAGTGTTTGTGTTGGTATTTAGAGATAGGAAGCTCATGCTTCATACAAAGCATGGCACTACATGTGGCGCTGGGTTCCATCTGCCTCCTCCCAGGGTGTCGGGTCTACTTACCAGGCTCTGCATGTTGCTGGGGTCTTTCTTTGGCAGTGTCGCTCCAGTCCAGGGAGGAGCCAAGCCTTTCCCCATGTCCCCAGGCAGCCAACCACTCATTGGCTGTGCAGAGAGATTCCCTGTTCTGCTTCTTTGCCTGAGTGGCTGCCTGCCTGATGAGGTGGAGAAAAACTGGCTGGGCTCCTGTCTGGATTGGAGCAAAGCTGCCAAAGAAAGACCCCTGCCACATGCAGAAGCCTGGTTAGTGAACTAGGTGGCCTGCAGGGAGGATGGAACTCAGCACCAACCGTGGTGCTGTGCTTTGTGCTTTGTACAAAGCATAAAATTCCCATCTCTATTTGTATTTGTATAACTCTCTGTATACTGGCTGTACTGATGGATAGTCCATTTGGTCCACCACTGCGCAGTCATGAAAAGTGTATTTCTTTAATAAGCAAATATTATCTAGGAGGAAGCGGGGGCAGGGAGGGAAAGAGGGTGTCTTATACGCACCAGATCATATTATAAATAATGCTTGCTGAAATATAACTAGCCAGAAAAAAACATTATATTTTCTTATTTGCAGTGATGTCTAACTGAAGACGGAAAAATCTCCAACTTTATTCTCAAAATAATCCTGTGCTATAGATTAGAGAAAGGGACGTGGTGGCGCTGTGGGCTAAACCGCAGAAGTTATAAATAATGCTTGCTGAAATATAACTAGCCAGAAAAACCATTATATTTTCTTATTTGCAGTGATGTCTAACTGAAGACGGAAAAATCTCTTATTTATTCTCAAAATAATCCTGTGCTATAAATTAGAGAAGTTCATGGCCACTTAGAAAGCTGCACAAACTGAAGGGCGTTTTTGACCCGAGATGTTAATATCCAAACTCATAATAACATTTTTATTACCCGATGTTAAATGTTGTGTGCTATAGTTTTACTTGAGAAGTTCATGGCCACTTAGAAAACTGCACAAAGGGTGTTTTTGACCTGAGATGTTAATATCCAAACTCATAATAACATTTTTATTACCCGATGTTAAATGTTGTGTGCTATAGTTTTACTTAGGTAGCTTTCCCCTTTTGAATTACATACAAATTTGAGAAGTTTTTGTACAGTGAAATATAAACTGTTGTGCAGTTGCAATTTAAAATTGTATGCCATTTAAAATTAACAATAAATGAGATTTGGTTGCATGAGTAGACTGTCTCACACAGCTGGACTTTATCACCTCTCTTCCCCACTGCAGCATCTTGCTTTCCAAAAGCCTTTTCAGGGCGGCAGGGTTTAGGACTTCACCTTTACCTTTACTATAGATTAGAGAAGTTCATGGCCACTTAGAAAACTGCACAAAGGGTGTTTTTGACCTGAGATGTTAATATCCAAACTCATAATAACATTCTTATTACCCAATGTTAAATGTTGTGTGCTATAGTTTAGTTTATGCGAAGAGTTTTACTTAGGTAGCTTTTCTCTTTTGAATTATATACGAATTTGAGAAGTTTTTGTACAGTGAAATATAAACTGTTGTGCAGTTGCAATTTAAAATTGTATGCCATTTAAAATTAACAATAAATGAGATTTGGTTGCATGAGTAGACTGTCTCACACAGCTGGACTTTATCACCTCTCTTTCCCACTGCAGCATCTTGCTTTCCAAAAGCCTTTCCAGGGCGGCAGAGGGTAGGACTTCATAGAATAGTCATAGAATCATAGAATTGTGAAGTTGGAAGGGGCCTATAAGGCCTTCAAGGCCAACCCACTGCTCAATGGAGGAAAAGATCTTACAAAGGACCTTGGACATGATTCAGGGGACTAGTAGCAAAGTGGAAGGAAGAGAAATTGTGTGAATGATCTTCTGCTGGTTCAGTGTTTGATTTCAGTCAGTAGTCTATATGTTTTGGGCACAAATCACTTGCATTAAAAACACTGCTAATTTTGCAGCTAATTTTGACTAGAGCTGAATTTTCCCTGAGTACAGATCTAAATACATGTTATACCGTATTTCCCCCCCCCCCAAAAAGACAGAGTCTTATATTAATTTTTGTTCCAAAAAACGCATTAGGGCTTATTTTCAGGGGATGTTATTTTTTTATTTACAACAATCTATATTTATTCAAATACAGTCATGTCATCTTTTTCTAGCTGCTGCACAATGTTGGAGGGCGGGGTTTCACTTAACTGGGGCTTATTTGGGGGATAGGGCTTATATTACNNNNAGTGGGGTCTTGACTTGAGAACTTAATCCATATTGGAAGGTGGTTCTCAAGTCAAAAAGTCTGTAGGTCAAGTCTCCATTGTCCTACAGTGCATTGAAAACCGATTAATCCCGTAACAGGCCGTTTTTGTTCCATTTTGGTTTTTTTCTGGTCTGTAAGTCAATTCTCAGGCTGCAAGTCAAACTTAAATTTTGCGGCCAGAGAAGTCTGTAACTCAAAAAGTCTGTAAGTCAAGCCGTCTGTAAGTCAAGGGTCCACTGTGCAAGCATCCTGGAAAATCATTACAGTGACTATAATAATAACTATTATATGATTTCAAGATGATCCTGACTTATGGGAACCCCTTCCAGAATTTTCTAGTTATAGAGAAGTAGTTTACCATTCCCTTCTTCCAGGGGCACTCTGGGACTATGTAGCTTGCCCAGTAAGAAATTCAATTTATTCTCAACTTGTGGTGTTGTATTTATTCAAATACAGTCATGTCATCTTTTTCTGGTTGCTGCACAGTGTTGGAGGGCGGGGTTTCACTTAACTGGGGCTTATTTTTGGGGTAGGGCTTATATTACAAGCATCCTGAAAAATCATTACAGTGACTGTAATAATAACTATTATATGATTTCAAGATGATCCTGACTTATGGGAACCCCTTCCAGAGTTTTCTAGTTATAGAGGAGTAGTTTACCATTCCCTTCTTCCAGGGGCACTCTGGGACTATGTAGCTTGCCCAGTAAGAAATTCAATTTATTCTCAACTTGTGGTGTTGTAGCAAGGTACTTCATCTTGGTGACAGAGCAAAGACGCATTCCGTACAATTTGTTGGGTTCATATCTTCCATTTTCTGGATTGAAATGAGGATTTAACAGAGTATATACACATAAAAATTTTCAATGCATGTAAACCCAAATCATGTGGTGAGTCTCCAGAATTATACAGAATAATGATTGTATGAAAAATTTACATTATACCAGAAGATGGATGACAAGCAAGACTGACTTGGTGAGCAGGATGGAAACTCATGGTTATGTTCCTCTATAGTGCACAGGAGAACTGGAGAAATCTTTGTTTAAAGCCGAAGGAAATTGCTGCTGCTTTTCACAAATGTTGTCCTGTTTTTAGGTGGATTTAGCCATTGAAGGACAGAAAGAGAAGATTACAGACAAAAGCATTCTATCAATGAAGAAGGAAGAATTATGTTTAGAACAAGGCAAAGTAAGTGAATAGTGTTTCTTATGTAAGTAACATTGGCTGTGCATATATGGTTATTTATCTGTATTTAACATAGCATGTGTCTTTCACCATTCCAGCACTATCATCACCTTCACCACCACCACCACAATGTTTTCTGGAGTGCTTAGAAATTAAAATACAGTATTAAATTCCAGCAATCAACATAATAGTAAAAGTAAAATGAAAAAATTGTGTATTTGTTTTTGGATTTGTTTGTTTTTGTCCCAAAAGATGTAAGAGCTAGAAATGTATATGAGAATTACTGGGATCCTAACTTAAATACCTGAGTAGGTTGTAGCTTCCAGCGCCATGGCAGCTGCAGAATTCTTGAAGTTGTAAGTCCTCTAACTGAAACGGTCAAATCTCTGAGATAGCAAGAGACAGAAACAAAATTTGCACAGGTATAATTGATTTCCCAAATTAAATAATTAGAAGGTTTATAACTTTACCAGTCATGCTGGTTGGCATATTCTGGAAGTTGTAGTCTAAAGAAATTAAGTTGGGTATTCTGGAAATTGTAATTCTCTTGCCAAAACAGTAAGAGATAGAAACCTGAAATGTTGTATAGTATAGCAATGACTGATTTGAAGTATAAACAATTGGATGGGCTATATCTAAAACAAGCCTGCTAGATGGGGGATTCTGAGAATTGTGGTGCAAAGAAATTACATTTCTGTCTCATGAGTTCTAGGAGAAATACTGGAGTGAAGAGAGAAGGAAAAAAATAGATCAGGAGAAGAAGAGAGGGGAGGAAGGAGAGTATAATAGGCAGCAGTTTGGGCAAATGGGTTTCTAACACTGGACCAACCTGAATGACTACCGGAATAGAAAGAGATACAGTATCAGTGAGAAATAATGAATTTGAAGAGCAGGAGAGGCACTGGAGTGAGGATGATGTTTATGTATTTAGACCCTTCTGATTGGAGATGGGGGTATTCGTATTTGTATACAAATACCCCCGTACAAGTGGACATAACCATCCACTCACTTGTCCACTGTTGCTGCAGGCTCCATGCTACCTTCCAATCACTCCAGAGCTTGCAGTCGACTAGCCACTCCTGGCAGAAAGAGGGAAGACGAGCCTCCGCCAGCTGCGACATCGCACCAATCACACACATAGTCCTCCTGGCACTTTCCTGCTTCTCCCCTCAGCTGACCACTTGGTAAGGAGGCAGGAAGAGTCTCCCTGCTCAGATACTGGGAGGTTGGCTGAGGGGAGAGCCAGGGAAGCAATGGCAGGACATTGTGTGTGATTGGCACAATGTCGGTGCTGATGGACGCGTGCGCTGCAAGGAGCGCAGTGAGTGGACTGGGCTGGTTATGGGGGCAGAAATAGACTGTCCTGGCACCTGTTATGTTGAGCTTCTTGTTCGTATCCCCTGGGATACAAATACAAAGCTCCCATTTCTAGATATAACTAATCTAGATATAACTAATCAACTAATAACCTTACCCCAATCAAAAGGGAAAGCAGAGTTACCATGACATAATGTCTATTCACTTTTAGACTACATTTATTCAATTTAAGGCTTTTGTATCTCTTGTCTAGCATTATCTAGTACATTAAATCGTTTTGGTCTTTTTGTAGTGACTGCAATCATTACTGCAATCTTTTGTGTCTCTTCTTTTAGATTGGAATGTGTATTGAGTATTTTCATTCTTGGAGTTATTGTTTTTTTCCCCATACTTGTCAGGATATTCTTGTTAGAATTTGAATAGAGTCCCTCTCTATAGCTTGAATAGAGTTTTATATGTATCCCATCTATTTCTGAGAATTTATTTCTTCCAAATGCTTTGACAGCAGTTTTTACTTCACTTTCTAAAACTGTGGATTATTCACTGAAGGCTTATGTTATATTCTCATAGTTATTTCTTTAATATCTTGTTTCCATCTTGTCTTATTTTATCCTGCTCAGTCAAGATATTTTTGTATTGAGCTTGTAGCATCCCGAATCTTGTGGTTGTTGTGGCTTCTTTGGGTTCTTCGGCCGTGTTCTGAAGGTTGTTCTTCCTGACGTTTCGCCAGTCTCTGTGGCCGGCATCTTCAGAGGACTGGAGTAGGAACTCTGTCCATGCTCTGTTGGTGTTTGTTGGATAGTATTTATAGCTGTGGGAACGGCTTTTGTCTTTTTTCAGGAGCTAGGGTGATCACGAATACATCCCGAATCTTGTTCAGTTTCTCATAGAGTTCTTCAGTCTTATGGAAGAGATCTCTTGCTTCTCCTTTTTTGCTGTCCTCTCCTCTTTCCAGTGATTGTTATAACAGTTTTCTTTGTCCCTATGTGTAAGATGTTGAAAAGTTGCATTTAGGATTCTGACTCTATTTTAGTCATCTTTTACTTTTGCTTCTCATTTATCTTCAACAATATTAAAAGTTTTACCAGTCATCCACTAGGGTTGTCCATTTCTTTTCGCTAAGAAATGGACACACACACACACACACACACACACACACACACACACACACACACACACACACACACACACCTGTTTTGAAACTTCATCCTTTCTTTTTGGCTGTGGGGGTGGGGGAGGGACAGCATAACGACACAGCAGCTTCCAGTACAGAGTAAATGGCAGAAGTTGTGCTAAGCCTGAAGAAGCGCAGTTTCTGCAGGAAAACTTGCACTTTATGTGATTTTATAGTGGTCCAGTAAAAGGTACCTACTTTTACATTTGTGGTCCTAATGATGTCATGGTTGTATTCAATGTATGTGAATGTACACTTTTATTTTGAAAATAGTATAATAAAAATTTTGGATAAGTAATCAGAATGAACAGACCTTTCAACTCAGCTACATTTTAAATTACCCAAAAAAGAATTTAGTTCCTCCATTTTCATTTTTATTACAGTTGTACTGCTGTTCTAAAGGAAAATGTTAACTAAGTTCTCATTTTAACTTTTTAAAAAATCCTGTAGCCTACAGTGTCAAGACATAGTGTGCTAATCATAAGATTCTCCAGGAAATATTGTAATGAAGAACTATTAAATCAAGCTTTTTTCCTTGCACAGCTTCATGCTGTGAACTTGACAGCATATTCTATAAAAGAAATAATACAAAATTGCTGTAAAGCAAAAGTGGAATGTTATCTTCATGCCGATTTCTAGAATACCCACTCCTTATTCTTTCAGGACATTTTATTAATTTTATCACAGGGCTATTCTAGGCCTGTCACAATGGTATTAGTAAAAACCTTTACTTGCTTCTTTTAAGTAAGCAGCCTAGTAAGCTTTGAATTTAGTTGGAATCTTTATAATAATTACAATAATTTGAAAGAGACATTATGTAGTATAATGAAAGATTTCAGTTACCCCAATATGTGTTACGAGGTAAATTCTTCTAAATGTGGCACTTGTAAGAAATCTCTGGCTTGTGTTGCTGATCATTTTCTCCTACAAAAAGTGCAGGAAGAAACTAGATTATTAGCTATCCTTGATTTGATTTTAACCAACAGGAATGATTTAGTAGATGAAGTGTCAATTAGGGAACTCTGGGGGAAAGTGACCATGTTATACTGAAGTTCTTGATTTCATAGGAAGCAAAAGCTGAGTATAACCACGTATATATGATGGATTTATTTGACCAAACTCCTGGAGGCAGTGGAAGACAGGAGGGCCTGGCGTGCTCTGTTCCATGGGGTCACGAAGAGTTGGACACGACTTAATGACTAAACAACATATGATGGATTTTAGGAAAGCTGATTTTAATAAATTCAGAACCATGATATACTATATAAGGTCCCATGGCAAGAGATTCTAACAAGATTAGGAGTCCAAGGGGTCCTAAAAACCAATTCCAACAAGAAAAAATGTGGAAGACAGCAATAAAGACCAATGTGGCTTCACAAACAAGGACACATATGGTAGAGGAAGTGGAAGGAAAGTCAGGGCAACAAAGGAAGAGTACAGACAGGTATCAAAAAATTGCTGGGATGTCAATAGGAAGGGAAAAGCTGAGAATGAACTGAGCTTAGCAAGAGATGCTAAAACCAACATCGAAAAAAGCATTTCTTCGGGTATAGCATAGCAAAAATTAGCAAAAGGCCATGTGGTTCGTGAAATTGCACAAATGTAAGAGCAGGTTATAATTTTATTAGACCACTAAAAAACCAAACAAACAATTCAATGACAATTCATCTTTGCCTCTGATAGAGGCTGCTACGTTTCTGTGTGCTTTCTCCCAGGCTTCCAGCCAAACAAGAACCTTGTGTTTCTAAAGTAAGTAATGTTGGGGAGTGGGGCAGCGTGGAGGTATATACAGATCATTTCGCAGTCCTTTGTTTGAAGAGCTGGCTGGAAAATTCAATCCAAATGCTAACGGGTGAAGCTTGAAACTGCACACTGAGACCATTTGCAACCAGCATTTGAGTTTAAGTTGTTCATTTTTAAGTAGTCTAATAAAGGTATCACCTTCTCTTACATTAGCATAGCAAAAAGAGAAAAGTAATAGTCAATTAGCTACTCAGTAGCTACTCAGTGGAGATAGCAAAATGATAACAGATGACAAAAAAGGCAGAAGTGCTCAATTCTTACTTTACCTTGGTTTCCTCACAAAACTAAGTCTATGACCCTCCTGATAAATGTAAAGGACAAGTGGAAGACATGTTGCAGACTGAGATTGATAAACAAATAGTCAAGCGATAGCTCATGACTTTGAACAAGTTCAAATCTCCATGACTGAATGAACAGCATCCAAGAGTATTAAAGAATCTGGCTGACTATTATTTTCTTGAAATCATGGGGGATGGTTGAAGTGTCAGATAGGGATAATATCATCCCTATCTTAAAAAAGGATGAAAACTACAGACCATTCGGACTGACAATAATCTCAGGGAGACTTCAGGAGCAGATTATAAAACTGTAAATCTCTAAGGACCTAAGAAACAATAAAATAATAACTAGAGGCCAGCAGAGATTTGTCAAGATCTGTTAAATCTGTTTAATCAGATAACCTCTCTGGTTAGACAGTGGGAATGCTGTA